CCCCCCCCCCCCCCCCCCCGCCCGCCCGCCCGCGCCTCCTTCCCCCACCCCACACCACCACTCTCCCCACAAAGGCGAGGCTGCCGCTGCCGGCGCCGACGACCCGGCGGCCCGCCGCCTTTCTGTGTAGGCCTTTCTTTTTTGATTCGCGGTTCTTTTTAGGCGCCGACGGCGAAGCGGCGGCCACGGCGGCGCGAGACAGTGCGCGCCGCGCGTACGAGAAGCTAAAGGCGCTCCTCCTCCTCCTCCTCCTCCACCTCCTCCTCCACCTCCACTTCCTCCTCCTTTCCTCTTCTCGCCTCCTCGCCTCCTCGCCTCCTCGCCTCCTCGCCTCCTCCCCCCTCTCCCCTCCCCTCCCCTCCCCATGTCTCTCCCCATGTCTCCCCATGTCTCCCCACATCACCCCATATCTCCCTCGACACGGCCTTCCGCGACACACAAGACGGGCTGGGCCTCTGTGAACGGCGCCTCTTCACAGCTGGGAGGCGTGAACAGGCCTTCCACGACAAGAAGGGCTGGGCTTCGGCGGGCGGCCGCTAGCGACGGGAGATAGGGGGAGATAGGGGGAGTTATGGCGGGCGGCCGCTAGCGACGGGCCGCGTCGAAGCCAACGCCGAAGCCTGTGCCACAAAGGCCACCGCGCCGCACGCAGAATCCAAACAACAAAGGGGGCACCACGAGCCGCACGCTGCCCGACCACTGCCGACCGCAAGACTCGTGAGTGGCTGCATCATTCTTGCGCACGTGGATTCGAGAGAAATCGAAGGTGCACTAGCTGCACACCGGCAGCGGCACACCCGGCCACCGGGTTTTTTGGGGCGGGCGGGCGGCCGGGCGAGACCGCGTGTGTGCCCCTCGGTGATCTCTGTGATGCGGCGACGAATGGTCCCGTGATACCTGAAAGCTGATCAGCAAGGGCCCTACACACTCGTAGCAAGTCCAAAAGATCGTGCAGGGCGCATTAACCGGCATGTTGTGCGAGTATATGGGACAAAAGCGTCGAAAATGTGTCCCAAAGAAGCGTGACTCGAGTTTGTGGCAGCCCCACAGCCGGCGCGCGCTGCCGGGAAGCACCGCTCGCGTGTCGGCCGCACTCCCTGGCACCCAGGGAGTGCGGCCGACCGACCAGACCGAGTAGGCTCGACGCCGCGCTCGCTGTGGGGCTGCAACAAAGTCGCCGCCGAGCGTGCCACCGACGGCGTCCCGGCGGCGGTGATGGAGTGTGAGACCTGAGGCTGCGGAGGTGACGCCTGAGGTACCGGCCCGTGCACAGCGACTCAGCCGGCGACCGCCACGGGCTCAGACGAGACTTGTCGACTCGTTACGGCTCAGCTTCACCGTGGTCATCGGGCGTCTGTCGACGTCAGGACCACCCATACAGCTTGCGGGTTTGAGGTCGCAAGAGCCAAGATGGTGGCGTTTGGACATCCCAACCATCACACAAGACAGCCTGTAGGTGATGGCGGGACGGCGCAGTGTTTGTGGCACTCGGCAGTAGGCACCCGCGGCACGGCCCCGCTGTCGGCTCTCACGGGCTGCGGAACCGGCCCCAGAGGGAGCCGGTCCGGGCGAGTGTGGCAGCTCCTGCGCTAGTATGGGCACCCTCTATCATAGCACTACTGATCCTGGTCATTAGAGCTGCCAGGGATAGCGTCAGGAGCCGGTAGGAGTCAAAACCTCTCATATTCGAGACATCGTGTCCCATATACTCGCACAACGAGCCAACCAAAAATAGACTGCTCTCGAGGCGCCCGCGGCATCTCGCCGCCCATCTTCGGCCACGCGTTGTAGTCGAAGATGGCGGCGTTGCGCCTTGCGACGATGGTCGAGTGCACTTGCAGGAAGCGCTTGCGCTCGCTACTGACCCGCCATCGTTCGCTGTCGGAGGACGCCTTAGCGGCCTTGATGTCGAAGTTGGTGTTGAACCACGTCGCCGCCTCGTGCCCGATGCCGCCACGCGTGCTCGCCGCCCACGTCATAAAGTCGCAGTTTTTGGCGTCGCACGCCGCTGCCTTGGCCTTCCGCTTCGTCGCCTCGGCGTAGTCGGTGGCTAGGCGCTTGCCGCTCGCCAGCGGGCGCAGCCTGTCATGGTGCACCGCGGTGACGCACGTGCCGTCGTACACCACGGCGCGTGCCGACTCTGCATAGTTGCCGAAGACGCCGTCGCCCCGTTGGTACGGGTTGGTGTCCGGATCGTGCGCCCGCGTCGGGTCCCTGCAGCCGAGCCTCACCTCCATGACCTTTGCCGAGGCGCCGAAGGCGCGGGCGACGTTCGTGACGTGAGTGTTGAGGGATGCGTGCCCCGTGGCCAACCAGCCGCCGTAGAGACCCTGGAGGGATATAGCCCTTAAGGGCATAAACCCTACAGGGCTATACCCCTATAGGGCTATACCCCTATAGGGCTATACCCCTTTGGGCTCTCAGGCCCCGTACGGGGCCTGAGAGTCCAAATCTGGCCTCCGTTTCCTTGGCGGACGCTGCGGTGCGGAGCTGCGGGCAGCGTCAGGCAGAGTAGAAGAGACCTAAAGCGGGTCGCTCGGGCCGGTCAGGGCAGGTCGCCGCACGCTCCTAGGGGGCGCTTTAGATGTAAGATGGAGGGAGCGTGCCCAGGAGAGCTGCATGATTGCATCGGCGACGTCCAGCGAGCTGCTGTCGGGCTCCGATGCGCCTTCTCCAACAGAATAGGGATGTTTCGTCCTTGCCGATCGCGCCTTTCGTGCACTAACGGAGGGAACGTGGCGTCGAACTACCAGTGATTGCGCGCCTGGCAGCCCCTGTGGCCGTCCAGGACAGGGGGGCGCGCTGTGCCTAAGTTCGCTTAATGTTCGCTTCCGACAAAGTCGGCGCCCCGACCCGTCCTAATTTGGTCGCACCACGGTTTTTTTTGCAATTGGCCTGTTAGGGATTTCGCCCGTCAGGCATCTCTCCCGTGAGAGAGCCCGTGAGGGTTCTCGCCCGTTAGGGATCTCGCCCGTTAGGGGTCCCGTCCGTATTAGGGATCAGGGATCTCGCCCGTGAGGGATCTCGCCCGTGAGGGACGTCGCCCGTGAGGGACGTCGCCCATGAGGGATCTCGCCCGTGAGGGACGTCGCCCGTGAGGGACGTCGCCCGTGAGGCATCTTGCCCGTGAGGGACGTCGCCCGTGAGGGACGTCGCCCGTGAGGGACGTCGCCCGTGAGGGACGTCGCCCGTGAGGGACGTCGCCCGTGAGGGATCTCGCCCGTGAGGGACGTCGCCCGTGAGGGATGTCGCCCATGAGGGATCTCGCCCGTGAGGGACGTCGCCCGTGAGGGACGTCGCCCGTGAGGGATCTTGCCCGTGAGGGACGTCGCCCGTGAGGGATCTTGCCCGTGAGGGATCTTGCCCGTGAGGGATGTCGCCCATTAGGGATAGGGACGTCGCCCTTGAGGGACGTCGCCCGTGAGGGACAGTAGAATTGTACGACTAAACTTTGCTGGCTCACACACATAATGAACAAAACATGACTGACTGAATCTCGGCACTAAACATATTGAACAAAGACAGGCCTGCGTCGAGTACGTGGCCAAGACGCGCGCCAAGGACCGCATGGTGTTCCTTCCGGACCTCGAGATGACCTCAAAGAAGGAGGTGCTGGGGCTCTTTGTCAAGCCGACGGTGTCATCTCTTGACGTTGCGCCCGTCGGTACCGACACCCCGTCCTCGAGCCAGAGCACGGAGGCGACCGAAGCGGAGGGCGAGAGCAACACCGCGAGGGACGAGGCGCTTGCCACGCTCGAGCTCACACTGATGCCGGCAACGGTTGAGGAGTTGGACGCGCACGTGGTGACCCTGCTCCGCCGGGCCATGAAGGTGCGCTCGGCAATGCGGCGTGAGACCGCGAGCCCGGCGGTTCGAGAGGAGGCGGAGCGCCGCAAGCAGGCCATCACCGGCGCCCGCAACGTTCTCCGCGAGGGGTTGCGCAACGCACCGCTCCTTTAGACGCCTTCCCCTGCAACACCCTCCGCTCGCTCTGTCACACACACACTCACCCTTTGTGCCTTTTCTTTGTTCATTAGTGTCAGTGCGCCTTAGTCCCTCGCTCGCGCCGTGCGGCCCTGGTGTGTCTTTGTTCAATATGTTTTTGTCCCGAGCTTCAGTCAGTCAGTAGAGTGTTTTGTTCATCATGTGTGTGTGAGCCCAACAAAAAGCACGTTTGGATGATGGTTGCGAGGGGGGGGCGGCTCGCTGTCGCTCGCTCTTTCCCCAAAAGCAACAGTAAATACCCCGCTTACCGGATACGGGACACTGTAACTGACGTATTTTGCGCCGATTTGGCTGATTTTGGGCCCAAACCAGCTGATTTCCACGGAGTTTCCTCGAGAAACTAGAGAGGAAACGAGAGGGTGCTGTGGAGAAACACAAGACGAGACGGGGTGCGCGAGGAAACATGGATACAGCCGAAAGCGACCCATACCAGGCGGACAGCAAGCGCTAGAGTGGCGGTGGGAGCACGCCGTCGCGCAGACTGAGACAAGGCCCTGGGGCCGCGGACATGCAGACGCCAGACAGAGTCATGTGAGAGCTGCGATGCCCGGCCAAGTTCTTTAAGCTCGCGCCGGGCGCGCGGCTGGGCGCGGCGGTTCAGCGCACGTAGTGCACCCACTGGAGCGCGCCGTTGACCCACTCCTCCTCGGCATTGGCGCCATACCGCTTGGAGCACGCCCAGCGCGTGCCTGGCGGAGCGGAGGCGTACGGGTGGGCGGTGTATAAGGTCAGGCGGGAGAGAGAGGCGGGCTGAGAGGGCGTGGGGCAGAGTTGGCTCGCACCTGCGCCCGGAGCGGGATAGTCGCCGAGCAGGGTGGCGCGGCCCGCCTTCATGTCTGCGAGGCCGGCGGCGTACGGCGGGACGACGCAGACCTGCTCGAGAACAGGGCGGCTCACGACGGGGCGGCCTGGGAGCCTGCCGAGGCGCAGCGGGCGGTGGGGCAGTGTGGACGCGTACCGACTCGGCGTGTCCGGTCGCTGGGTTGTACTCGTCCTCGCAGAAGAGTCCGTGCTGCTGGCCGGCCATGGGTGCCACGACAGCCTTGGGCTGGGAGCGAGGGTAGATTGTCGGCACGGTGTAGGCGGTCGTCGCGAAAGCTGCGAGGGAGAGCATCGCTGTGACCTGCAGTACGGGAGACGGCAGGTGTTGGGTGAGGGGCGAGAGGGAGCGAGAAAATGTAGGGGGTGCGTGTGCGCGTCTGCAGATGAGCCAGGCGCTGGCGAGGTGGCAGGGCGCAATCACTTTGCTGCAATCTTCTTGAGTGTTGGGGTTCGAGTTCCTCGCAGATGGGGTTGCGTTCTGTCGCGCCAAAACGCCCGACGAAGCGAACGCCCTACCTATCCCCAGCCGCGCGCGAAGCGAAAACAGATGAAAAGGGCGATATAGGGGTACTACCTACCTATTGCAGGGAGGGCCCTATCGGCGCTGCCCTCGGTGTCACTGCCCGCGACCGTCGTCACTCACCTCTCCCGTCGCCACCTCAACCCGCCGTGCGGGCTGCGGACGCCATACCCACAACGCTGCTGGATTCGGGACAGCAAGGGCTCGGTAGGGACCGCGCGACTCCAGGGATCAGAATGTTTTTCAGTGTAGCTCTTACGAACATACCCGAGGGTGAACTGCTGACAGGGTTTGCGATGAGGAGCGATCCGAACGTGGTATTCGGGTGATCAGATCACTACCGCCGAAGCGCAAGCGCTTTTTCATTAGATTATTGAATTGAACCTCACACCAAGATCGTGCAGGGCGGGGACACATGTCCCTAAATCCCATCTCTTCTGAGGACCTTTACCGGAAAAGTATACCAAATCGCTTGGGAGGGGCCAGCCAGTGTATATGGACAGACAGACCCCCTATCCGGCTAGGAGCCCGGGCCCTGGCGAGTACTCGTTACGTGTGGGTGAGATAAACCATAAAACGAGTTGCGAAAGCGCCCTCGGAGGATTGGAATAGAGATGTAGCTAGAGCGCTCTGGATATGGAGCGCTGTAGTGTGTAGAGCTGTAGAGCTCTACATCCGGCGCGGGACGATGTGAGTCCGATGAATGTAGAGCGATGTGTAGAGGCGCTCTACAACGTGAAATCTCTACAACAAACTCTACATCATCCCAGTACACAACCCCCTTGGAGCCCCTCTCCCTTTTCTCCCAATAAGCTAAAAGTTGTGCGAAGGATACTCGAGTATGTTGCCTTTCGCGAGATCGGGAGGTTCTCAGGAGAGCGAATGCAGAGGAGATCGCCGCCGTGATGGCGCAGGAGACGGCGCCGACGGTGACGGCCGCCGCACCGGCGCGTACACCAGCGGCGACGAAGCGTAAGGAACGGAGTACGCACTTCCTCCTAGATCGAGCGGGATCACTTTGCTTAAGTTTTTTTCATCATTTTCTTCTCACATCTCGGTACACTCGGAAAGAACTTGGAGCACTTGGAGTGCAGTCGGTAACCTCACATCCAGGGCCGGGGAGCTAAGAAGCGCACCCAGCGGGCCAGATGATCGGTATCGGGTTACGGGCTAGATAGAGACGTAGAGAGCCCTAGCCCTGGGGGGTGCGCGTTCGCAGGGAAAAAGCCGTAACCCAACATATAGAGGGCGTTGCTAGCTTTTGGTATTAAAAAATAAAAAAGCCGTAAAGTTTACACGTACGTAAGGGGGAAAGAAAAATTTACCCTCCCATACGTGTTGGGCTCCTTGCGCTTGGGCTCCTCCTTCGCTGTCCCATCTCCTCATCTCTTTCCCGCGCCTGGGGCGGGGCGGGGGCCGGGCGAGCGGTGCTGAGGCCTGAGCGGCGTGTGCGTGTGTGTGGATACGGCAGGTGTGACTACGACACGGGACCACTGTGTTTGTATTATTATTAACAACGAAGGACTCTAAAAAAAGAAAACTAGGTGTGCACTCTTGGAGCACGGCGCCTGCTTCTTGCAAGGCGCCGGCCTCGGGGCCGCCTCGGCGCGCCGCACGGGCGCGGCGAGCCTCTGAGCGGGAGCCGAAGGTTTGCCTGCGGGAGGTGGTAGGTGGGGTTGTTTGACTTTGCCGCAGAGGCCGTCCTTAGCTGTGAACAGCAAAACGGGACAGTAAATGGTTCAACCTTCCTCACCCAATGGCTCCTTCGAACTCCTGGGAGGAGTTTGATGAAAAGGGTCTCAGTCGGTACTCTGCCAAATCGTCGCCGGCAGGACGGCTGCGTTCTCGCCCCTCTGTCTTTTGCGACGAGCGGGCCTTTGCTGCCACCGACTCAACGGCGTGGCGGCGCGCGAGCGAATCGGCATTCACCAACTCGGGGCCCGCCGAAAGTTCAGGCTCGGGGCGCCGCCTCCCCCCACTCACCGAGAGCTTGCCTGAGCCTTCGGCGGGGACGGTGATGCAGCAGAAGGCGGCCACAAAGCTGCAGGCCGCGACGCGCGGCTCGTTCTCGCGGGCCGAAGCCTCCTGGCGCACGACGATCGCGCTGGTCAGCGCGCCGGTCGGCTCGAACGAGGTGGAGTGGGCGTCTCTCGGCCCGATGAAGCGTCTCGGCGCAGGCGAGTTTTGCGTCGCCTCCGCCTGCTCGCTCGACGGCGCGCCGTGCGCCGTCAAGACGCTGCGACCCGAAAAGGAGAAGGTCGAGGTGGCGGTGGCGGACTTGCTGAGGGAGTCCTCCCTGCTCTCGCGGCTGCACCACCCACACATCATCCGCGCTCTCGGGTTCGGCACCCGCCCAGCCGCCGGCTCCCAGGCGGGCGGGGCCCTGGTCCCCTTCCTCTGCCTCGAGCTCCTCTCGGCCTCCCTCTCGGCGTCGCTACCGCCGGACGCCTTCACCGCCACCGCCCTCGCCCGCAAGCGCGGCGTCAAGGCGTGGCCGGTGCGGCGTGCGATCGACGTGGGCCGGCAGATCGCCAGCGCGCTCCGCCACTGCCACAACAGCTTCCTGCCCGGCTATCGGCTGCTGCACCGCGACCTCAAGCCGGACAACGTCGGCTTTGCCTCGGACGGGCGGGCGGTGCTGCTTGACTTTGGGCTCTGCAAGCTGTGGCAGGTAAGCAAGCGGCGCGACGGACCCAGCGACGGCCGAAAGATGACTGGCCAGACAGGATCGCTCCGCTACATGGCGCCCGAGGTACGTCCTAGCGCGGACGAGGGGCACACGCACTCGCGGAGCACACACACACGCGGGGAATCGCACACACGCGGGCGGTGTGTGTGCGTTCTCGGGGGGAAAGGCTTCACCGCAGACATGAGTGCAATAGGTTGCGCTCTGCAAGCCGTACGACCACACGGCGGACGTCTTCTCGTGGGCGTCGCTTCTCTACGAGATGGCGGCGCACAAGAAGCCGTACTATGCGATGGACGCGCAGGCCTACATCTCGCAGGTCTGCAACGGCGGGTACCGTTGCGAGCTACCCGCTGCTATCAAGGCCATCCCCGACGTGGCGGCGCTCCTCTCGGCCTGCTGGTCGACCTCCCCGTCTCGGCGCCCAGACTTCGCGCAGGTCGTGCCGGTGCTCGAGGCGGCGCTCGCCGCTCTGCCGGCCGCGGCAGACGCGCAGCAGGAGGGCGTGGCCGGCGCCAAGGAGGGCTGCAGCTGCGTCTTGGCATAGGCCCGGGGCGTGACCGCACGCGGGCCTATGCCGAGTTGGGGCAGTCCTATCTGTTTGCACTCGGACGTTTTCGCATGCAGAGTCCTTGAGGGCCCAACGCATTGCTGGAGAGGGCCCATGCCAGATGTGCATACACGTCCATGACCATGTCCATGTGCATGCACTAAAAACTAACGCGTGGTGACACGGCGCCCGCGGTGGCACAGCGTTACACCCTCGTACACTGTACATGTGCCTACAAGCAGATCGCGCAAGCTCTTCCCACCGCGACCGGAACCTATGCGTTCCTGTTCATGGTGCGCTCTTTTAGTCCGCGCGCGGCCCGGATCCCATCAGGCAAAAAGATCACGCAAACGCTGCCCTCGCCTCTGAACAGCTGCGTCTCCCGGGTGCGCCTGCATAGCCCCTGCCACCGCCTCGGTCGCGCCCACAGTCACAGCTCGCTGCCTCCGCGCCCGCGCTGCTGCGTCGCTGCCGAAGCACACGTTGAACATCGCCCTGCAGCCAGACTGCTGCACAACCGCCACCTGCGGGTGAGCCTGCAGCGCCGCCACAGCCACCTCGATGCCGCCCGCGTCTGCTGCGCGCTGGATGCGTGCGAGCCCTGCGGCGTCGGTGCCGGAGCACACGTTGGCCATCGCCTGGCAGCCATTCTGCTGCACAACCGCCACCTGCGGGTGAGCCTGCAGCGCCACCACGATCGCCTCGATCGCGCCCGCGTCTGCTGCGCGCTGCTTGCGTGCAATCGCTGCGGCGTCGCTGCCGAGACACACGTTGGCCATCGCCCCGCAGCCATTCTGCTGCACAACCGCCACCTGCGGGTGAACCTGCAGCGCCGCCACAACCACCTCGATCGCGCCCGCGTCTGCTGCGCGCTGGTTGCGTGCGAGCCCTGCGGCGTCGGTGCCGGAGCACACGTTGCCCAACGCCAAACAGCCTTGCTGTTGCACGCCCGCATCCTGCGGGTGAGCCTGCAGCGCCGCCACGATCGCCTCGAACGCGCCTGCGTCTGCTGCGCGCTGCTTGCGTGCAAGCCCTGCGGCGTCGGTGCCGCAGCACACGTTCGCCATCGCGCAGCAGCCATTCTGCTGCACGTCCGCCACCTGCGGGTGCGCCTGCATCGCCGCCACGATCGCCTCGATCGCGCCTGCGTCCGCCGCAGCTTGCTTGTTCCGCACCTCAGCGCACAGACGG